ATTTACCACGATTTGGTCAGACGGATTTTCCCGCGCTTCCGAGATCAGTCTTCTTGGCCATTTGTGATTCTTTCCTTTGTCCTTGATGGGCTTTGTGATTATTTTTTATTTAGTTTAACAACACTCCACCAAAATGCGTTCTAACTACCTCCTGCCAAGTAAGTGTTGCATTATAAAACGTGACAACGAAATATCCCCTCGTGTCGTTAACACGACCCACCTGTTCTCCTACAGTTCCTTTTGGACCACGGTCTCCGCGCTCTCCTTGAAGGCCCTGGAACCAACAGAGATTTAAATCGTAACAGTGTTCAATAGGCGTAGGAATGGAAAGAAAATGAGACATGAAATTTCCTTTTCGGACAGAAAAAAGTAATCATTAGAACATCGAGACTCTAGCCTCTGTCGATGGAAATTTGATGACCGAAAGACGGCAATTGAACAAATTTATACCATTTGTATTGAGACTGTTTTAAACATGAAATAAATCAAGTAGAAAAACAAGGCGAATTTTTACCCGTTCACGGGTAACGCAAAAATTACCGCTGAAGTGATAAAATGATAACACACAAGTTGGATATTGGTGGATTTTTTTTCCCCGCAGCTTAAAGAAAACATGAACATAGCTTATCAAACGAATATTAGTCTAAAACACATGTACAGCTGATATTTTGGCGAGAACTGATATCTAATATTTGGTTCATACCTGGTTACCAGTTTCTCCCGGCTCTCCTGGGAGACCTATGGCACCTATCCTTCCATAAGTTCCCTTCAAAGAAAAGAAAAAGTCGTAACTAATTACAACACCAGGTGGTAGTTTCGTTATATCTTTTAAGTTTGTTTTAGTATCAGAGGATGTTTTTTTTTTCCGGCAGTGAAACCTTGGTTACCAGTTTGACATAACTTGCCTGTTGTTCGAATATTAAGCACGTTAGAACATTTTGAGTACCACGAAACTTCCATAAAATATCCGTTATTTTTTACTCTATAACAATCTCTAATAACAATCTCTGCTACTGATATTAGTAGAGTATGGAACATTTGAGAGAGAGACAAACTCAGACCGCCTTAAGGAAATGCAAATCCTCAAAATTGTGCGCTTCTGCGCATTGAGATTAGTCTTCACACGCCTTGCAAACCTGGTTGGCATGTGAAAATAGGCCAATATGTGAGCTAAAAGAGCTGTAAAATATGATTGTTTAACAGTAGCTGTCGTTACAACAAAGAAGTCGCGCGGTTTCAAACGTGAATAATTTATTCAAGTAAACCCTTTTCCAATTGAGTGTCAGAAATGATCCAGGATTACTTTGGTTTTGCTTTTCTTTGCTCTATGATTGATCCAGAAAACTCGCGCCACTTTCTCAACCAATCAGATCCAAAACTAAACCCAAACGCGTCTTAGTCACCCGCTTTTTTCCCGCGGTTTTTACTTTGAGTATTCATTGAACCAGTCCCCTCTGTGGAACTAAAGCGTGTTGACAAACCTTTTGTCGCTGCATGGATTGCCATATTTGCACGATCTGGTCAATTTCATCCTGTGACAAGAGTGTTCCTGCCGGTGCCTATTCAAACGATAGAGAAGAGTAGCTGTAAAATAAAACTAAAATTAAACTAACTGAAATTTATTTCTTTCACTCGTCAGGCAAGGTTCAGACCGTGAAAGAGAAAAGTCACGTGACGACACAGCAACACCCAAGACGACAACCAATCATCAGCCTAGACCCAGTTGTTCAAAGAGCGGATAACGCTACACGTCGTAAAAATCGCTAACCAGTGGATGTGCTGAAAAAACTTACTGCGCAATCCACTGCATGGAGATTTATCTAGTGTTCAGTGTTATCCAGCTCTCGAACGACCAGGGAAAGGCCGAATTCCAGGCCTGTCGAAACGAGAAATCCCAAGCTATTAAACAAGTTTGGTGAGCTAACAAGTGATGATCATTAACCAAGTGTCCAGACTGAATCAAAATATTCGATTGTAGAGAATTCGAGCCCTAGGAGAGAGAACGATGAATGGAATCAAGCGACAGGACGAGTCCGGCCGTGAAGCGAACGCGCAAAAATAGAAAAAAAGAAAACTTTTGATGAAGGAGTAACAAAACAACGTCAGTACATTGAGAAATATACTACGGCGTTATTTAATTTTATTCAAAGCATCCAAACACCATCATACATTACCAAAACATTTTCTGTTTCAACAGCAGAGCTTCACTGAAAATGAATTTGCCATTCTCAACAACGAGGTAAGACATGTTCTTACGCGGGAGCTTGGGGCGATCACCATGGAAACATGGATTGACCTTTTAAGTCGAATTAATTCCCGCGAAATAAGAAAAGCCGACATGAATGTCGTTTTTAATATAACGTACTCAGTACTTACTCCGATGAGTGTAATACCCGACGGACCTGAACCTCCGGGTAGACCAGGGGGTCCCCTGCTACCTTGATTTCCGATTTCCCCCTATAGATAAAAATAAGGGGGTTAGAAATTTTCTCTGCAGACTTGATACTTACGCTGCAAATAGTTTACTCGTTAATTTGGCACAGCATACCAAATAACCATAGTTCGATATGTTGCAAGTTGCATAGGTGTGGGAGATATATTTGCTCAACTCAAGATCTAGAGTATTGTAATTTGAGCATGTTAGTAAATGTAAAAGTAAGGAAGTAAAAAATCAAAAGTTAATTTTGATTCCTATTTGCGGTAATCTATTATGATCGAGGGCTAAGCTAAAAAGTTATCCATTTTTTAAAAGTTTTTGCATACATTTGTTGTTAGTGCGTCCAATTTGAATTACCATTGTTCTGGACTTCCTAGCCTTGTCCTCTCGTGGAAACACAAAAGGATTATCACATGTGTGAGAGGCTAGTAAAATATGGCGTTCAATTCAAATTGGACGCCATATTTCGATTCGGTATATATATTCTAAGTATTATCATACCGGTTTTCCAGGAACCCCACGGCCTCCGGGGTCACCAGTTGAACCCTGTGAAAAAAGATAGGTAAATATTTGATCATTGCAGGTTCTAGGGACTGTTCTACACAAAATCGTGTTTTAAAACCGAGTCATGATATAGACTGTAACTGCTTTAAGACCAAACTAAATTCCTCAGGAAATCCTTGTCCCTTGCGTTCTCCTTGCCCCGTTGCATGCACGAAGCCTGGTACGAAAGGCACACTCTCTCCCAACTCAGCGAGGCGGCATCGAGGAGCACTAGGGGTCCAGGCTTAAACAAATCGAGTACGCTTACGGACGGTTATTCAAACAAAGTTTAGCCGTGGTTTAACAAAACTGCCGCCTTCAATTTCGCCCAACCTTTTATCTCAACATTTTTTTTTGTGTATAGTGTCGAGAGGGCCGAAAGATGATAGTGAAAGAACTTTTAATTAAATTAATCAAATTTCTTAAAGAGAATCCCTGAGGCCAGCTGCTTGCGTAAAAACCGCGGTTTGTGTTCGACTTCGAGTAAATAACCGGCCGTTAAGCCTGGTTTCACTAGCGACGCAAGCACAAGCGTAAGCACAAACGCAAGCATAAGGTTTATATGCCATATGAAAACGAACGCCGACTAACACAAGTACTAGCGCAAGAAAAAGGAAAAATTTTGATCCTCGTGCCTTTTACGGTGAAATAAGAGCCGTTATGCTCGTGTTTGTGCTTGCACTTCTGCATGCCTCGCTAGTGACATACAGGCTTAACTATGGTCTAGGCTACATCTTACTTTAAAACATGCCTACAAAGGAAATCTCGTTGGCTTTAGTAGCATTCGTCTCCTAGAGAAAGCGTGCATGCCACATGACTCTTCAACACTGAACACAAAGGCGTAATTACATCTATAATGCTCAAGCATTCGGAACGAATAAATGAAAATCAAACCAAGCGATCACTAACGACCTCGATGATTGGTACGAACACGATACATCCAATTTTGCGCTCAATCCTGGTTTCCATGTAAACGACCGAATCGTCGTTAATCGTCTCGAAAACTGGGGCGATCGAGACGATCCGGCTGATTTTATGGAAACAATGCCTCAGACACTTGAGACCATGGACTGTCGCAGTTGTTTCTTTGCCCGCAGTGACGAAGCGACGAAGGGAAGCTTTTCAATAAAACGACTGTAAGATTCTAAAGAAACTATGTTGCTGCATCGGTAATGGCATTGGCAGATAATTTGGTTTAAACAACTGAGTTGATAATGTAGATTGGCCACCGTAAAAAATTTATAAAGCTAATTTTTCAAGCGTTAGCCCTTCGTCAGAGGGAATTACGAAGGGCTAACGAAAGAAACATCAGGTTTAAAAACTCTTTGTGGTGGCCGATAAAATTATCAACTCAGTTGATAAAACCAAATTATCTCTTGAATAACAAGTGTGGCATCAGAAACGGATTAAGTTGTCTGATCCCAATCCAAATGCGCCTGCACAACAATTACTTACTTACATATGATGCACGATCCTCGCAGTAGATAGCGCTATTTAAGCAATAGCGAAAATCAGACCTGAAAAAAATCAGGCCTGTACGGGATTCGAACCACTGACCTCTGCGATACTAGTGGAGCGCTCTACCAATTGAGCTAACAAGCCAACTGGGAGCAGGCCGTTAAGCTGATTCGTAATAAACCCGTGAAAGTGATAAATGAGATACAATGAAATATATGAAGTTCATATATTTTGTACTGCGGTATTAGATACATATGATGCACGATCCTCGCAGTAGATAGCGCTATTTAAGCAATAGCGAAAATCAGACCTGAAAAAAATCAGGCCTGTACGGGATTCGAACCACTGACCTCTGCGATACTAGTGCAGCGCTCTACCAATTGAGCTAACAAGCCAACTGGGAGCAGGCCGTTAAGTTGATTCGTAATAAACCCGTGAAAGTGATAAATGAGATACAATGAAATATATGAAGTTCATATATTTTGTACTGCGGTATTAGATACATATGATGCACGATCCTCGCAGTAGATAGCGCTATTGAAGCAATAGCGAAAATCAGACC